CAAAAAAAAAAAAAGAAAAGAAAAGAAAAGAAAAGAAAAGATCAGAAGAGGAAATAAAAAAAAAAATGTATCTATATGTTCGTGATCATAAGTTCGAAAATTGAGCGTTGACAACGTTGGTATAGGGCCAAGCTTCAACGGGTTGCGGGTCGAGCACCCGCACATCCTAAGTTACTGTGACCTCGCTTTCCGCAGTCGGGACGGACAGACCCACAGCTCAACACAACCAACATAGCACTAAAGAAAGCGAGGCTAGGGAAAAAGTCCATGATTTCTAGGGATGAAATTGAAGGCGCTTTTCGGTGATGCAACGTTGAGTCGCTCACAGATGAGGTGATCAGAACACGGAATATGAGCCTGCTATTGCGGATGGAATATCTCCCACAAAGTCTCAATTTAAGAGAGCCGTGAAGGACTTAACAGCCAGTCCACGTTTCTTGACGGACTCAGCATCCCTTTTATCTCAACACCACTCTTACTCCTCTCTCTCGCTGAGCATCTAAAGGCATCAAAAATGTCGCTGCAAATAGTTGCGGTAAAAAGAAGAGATGGTTTCAACAGCCCTCAATAAGGATAGGTTTTCCTCAACGTTTCCTACCCAGCATGTAAGTGACAAAAGTCGAGAAGCCTATAAATACGTCCTCTACCCCCGGCAATTTGCTCTACGGTCAGTTCACTTAACTCTGCAAAGTCAAGCAGTCACTTGATAAGTTCTTCCCTTTGACCCCTACTAGAACTTCCACTTTACTAATATCTATTAAATACATCGTGGACCTCATAACAGGACCGTGGGGAGATGTGATTTCTAGCAAATTTACTGTGCTGGGAGAAACTTTGCACCACGCCAAACATTACTAGCGCGTGGATTGAAAATCAATCGCACGCCTCTGCCTCTACACTTACTAGAGACCACTCTACTTTCAACCCACCCATCCAATTTGGTCGAGTTGCCCCCCGCCTTCGTCATTGGCAATACTTTACCCATCAAATTCGCGTTCACTGACCAACAGCAGTTTCGTTTCTTTTCGCCCGCGTCATTCTTGCTGCTTGATTGAACCTCCTCGGAATGCCACCATTTCAGTTCAGAAATTCAAACTACAGTGGCTCGCGTCAGATCCAAAACACGAGTTCAGACCCCGCTACCGGCCACCTCGCACTGCAGAACGACCGCTGCTGTCTAGAAAGATGCAAATCACACCGGAAAAACTCCAAGATGAAACTAAGGCCAAACCTCCACTCAAGTTCGCCTCTTTATCTGCTTTGACAGATAGCGCAGAGGCCAAAATGGACACGTCCAATGATGACTCCGACACTGAGCGACCACGCAAGAAGAACGCAATGGGTCTTGATGGACCCCAAGACACTACGCCAATTTCACTCTCCTGCCCCCCTGCTCCGAGATGGTCCGACCTGGATCCATACACTGCGCTACCTCACTAAGCAAAACAACGAATAAAATGGTCGACGTTGTCAAGCTGATTCGCAAAGCAAGACTTGACGATGCGCGAAGGCAGATGAGACAGATGAATTCCGGGAGAACTTGGATTTCATTTCCCTCCGCGTTATATCGGAACCAGAACCTCAGAGCAACGCTCCCGAGAACACCTCCGACATCGCCCCCAAAGGGTTAGCAGGCCAGGAAAGTGTGCATTGTGCCAATCCCAGTCGAAAGCGACCCCGTGGGGGTGCGATCAAACGCCATTCTAGAAAGGCAGGCAAGGCTGCAAGCAAGTACGACTACGGCGGTTCCGTTATCAATGATTGGAGACTACTGTCTCAAGAGTCGGGCACGCCTTGGCTTGAATCCACTCTGTCTTCTTTATACATAGGATCCCAGTCAATATTGTCTCTGTCCTCTCGATCGCTATTGATTAGTGCTTTTTCTAACCCGCACTAGGTTAGATCATGAGATTCTCAGCTTCTACAAGTGGGCCAAATCACAGGAAATTGAAAACATTGTCCGCAGAGATGTCATCGAACGATTGAATACTGCATTCCAAAGTCGATACGCTGGCATTGAAATCCATGCCTTTGGCTCTTTAGCCTCTGGTGTCTATCTGCCTACTGCCGATATTGACCTTGTGCTACTGTCAGACACGTTCAGACGCACACTAGTGCGTTCATTTGGCGAAAGGAAAGGCCATATACACGCAATTTCGGGCTTCCTGAAAAGCACCAATATTGCTGTCCCGAACTCGATTGAGTGCATTGCACATGCTCGGGTACCGATGCTAAATTTCCTGGACAGGGTGACTGGGCTGCGTATTGATATGTCCTTTGACAACCACAGTGGGTTGATCGCCAACGGGACATTCCAAAACTGGAAGGAGCAGTTCCCCCATCATGCCCGTCATTGTGTCAGTGATCAAGCAGTTTTTGCTGATCCGTGGCCTCAAGGAAGTCTCGACGGGTGGACTGGGAGGCTTCTCTGTCACTTGCTTGGTCACAAGTCTACTCCAGCATCTGCCCCACAGACATATGCAGCTCAATTCCAAGCTGCATTGCACGATTGGACGTTAAGACGTGAGAGTGTGAGACTAGACTATAGCGTTTCATGCGCTGCCCCGACGAGGCAGACAGACTACAGCTCCCCGGAAACCTGGGCGACCCGATGCTAACGTGGGTTAGGGAGATAGCATTGTGAGAATATCTGAGTGACCACAGCGGCGACGAGGTAGGTGGCATAAAACTCAAACGTGTCGCCTTCCTGATCGATGACATCGCGAGCTAGATCTATCTGGTGTAGACCCGCCACCAATTCGGGGATTGTCACCTTGTGCGGCACCCTTTGAACTCCACTGCATACACTGGTATTTGTCGTTCATCAGCCATAAAGGCCGCCCTCGTGACACTCGGCGACAACCTGGAAGTCGTCCAATCCCGACAGATCTAGGTTGGACCGATAGACCGGTGGTCGGTCCACATAGCCGAGCTGATCGGCATTTTTATGGAAATAGGTGGCATCTGTTCTGTTGAATCTCACTTACCCCTTGAGCACTATAGGGAGCACTCCATGTTTTCGTTTAGTTGAGACAGTTATTAATTGAGTTACAGGATAGTGCTAACCTGACCAAACTAGATCACTCGGACTCACTTGGCCTTGGACATCGGTGCCTTGCACTGAGGCCTCTTTAATAACCTGGACCAGTCTATAGTAGGACGACAATCTAGCTCGGACCGGTGAAAGTCAATGATCAAAGCCCGTCCTAGCTCGGCATTCTACAGGATATTGTCAGGCCGGAAGTCTAGGTGTCGGACGCCCAAAGTGCGGATTTTTTTCTTTTGACCTTTTGATCTCCCTGCGAAGCTCTGCGGTTTGCTCGAGTTTTGCCGTACTCTCGCCAGCCCAACCCATGACAAGCATATGACGAATCTCTCCAGCTCGATGCAAAAAATATATCTTTTCTAGGTCTATCGTGCTAAGGAACACGGGAATAGCAGACCCCTGTGCTTTCCGCAGGACTGAAATATTAGATTAGTGACCTTCGTTACTATAGCGCCGCTGAATGCCATCACAGAATTTGACCCCATTTTACCCCACGGTGTCGACAAATCAGAGGTCGTATAGTCCCTCAGCCGCAGCACTTTTGCAAGCCTGCATATGTTAATAATCCGCACCTCTTTTCCCTCGTGATTACCCCTCCCTAAGCGGGATTCTCTCTTGTAGTGCTTAGTGGGTGGTTCTCGGGGTCTCTCAAGGGTTCCCAGGGTTGAGAGGTGGAGGGCGCTGGTTGGTAGTGACTGCTTGCTCGGTTGCCAGGTTTAGATATGAGATCGTCGATGAGTCATTTTTGCCATTGGATACTTGGGAGCACCTGCAGTCACCAGGGAACCAAGCCACGATGGAACGGAGCAGCGGAGGCAACAAGCTGCTGGGCAGATCACGACCAGGCAACCCCGGCGCACGGACGAGGCACCAGGACAAGGCATTGAGGAGGTGGTAAATCATCGAATCGAGGACGAGGGAGGATGACCGAGGGGAGCAGACAGAGAATCCATTTGAAGGACGAGTAGACTATGCAGGCCGAGTTAGAGCCCCGTGAACGAATAATCTGCACCGTATTGCTCTTTCAAAAGCCGTGCAACCTCCTCGCAACGCCACCTGCACCAAGAGGCCGAATAATTCCGATCCCAAGAGTGGAATGTGAAGACAACAAGGGCTCAGCCGCAGTTTGCGACAAAGTAATAGGGAGCGAATGGGGCAGTCGGCGAGTCCGATTGGGCGGGCAAGATTGCAGGGGCACTGCGATGAGTGCAAGATAGAGAGGCAGAATAATGGAAAAGTGAGAGAAAGGGAGGAAGAGCAGGGAAGACGGGTCTTTTTAAGTCGGAGGGCATTGAAGGGAGGTTACGTGACGGCGTATTGGGGTGCTAAACCCAAAAGGGGAAACTAACCGCATACAGTAATTCACAGGTCCGCCGTCTACGAACTAATGTTCAAATCAAGAAATTGACCCTGGGCCGCTTTGCCCTGGGGCACTTGGCTTTTTTTGAGTGAAGGGTTCACCCACATTTTGACATCTTTGCAACTTCGCACCTTTCAACCCATTGACATACCTCCAAGGGCTTCACCAGTCCCCTCGTCCGGGATGGCAACACAAAGCCCGTGGTTTCTGTGTTTCCCCCCTGAAATGATTTCATCCATTGTGTCCTTTCTGCCAAACAAAGATGTCAAGTCCTTGCGCTTGACGTGCAAAGCCCTTGGCGAGATTTCACCATTCTCCTCCTCACGCGTGTTTCTTTCGGCCAACTCGTTAAACATCCAAGTTTTTCGGGCTGTAGCAGACCATCTAAAGTTTCGCCACGAAATCAGGGAGATCATCTAGGACGACGCACGGTTTGTATTCGCGCCGTTGATATGGGAAACTGTGCACCCAAGCATTAACCCCGAACGTATGGAAATCAACTCCAATAAGGGATGTCCTATCTGGTTCACGGAGGAATGCGAAGAGAACCGCTATAGGATAAAGCATCGGAAATACCGCGACGTGGACCGACCTAACCATATTGCACGTTAGCACTAGATAGATGCCTAAATGCCGTTAAAAGCCTGCTAGAAGTATTATCGGCAACTATAGGATGATCAGACGTCTATGATCGGATCCGAAGACGATAAAAAAGCCTTTCTTTACGGCCTAGAGCGATTCCCACGGCTCAAAAGAGTGACCGTTACGCCTGCGGCTCACGGCTGGCTGTTTGCTCCGCTATACGAGACACCTATGATCCGAGCATTTCTATACGGATTCAACTATCCGATTCCGCGAGGATGGCACTATGATCCCGTTGATTGTCGGGTTATCGAGCCGCTACTATAGTCAGAGGCAACCGAGGACTATAAGGAGCTATAGAGAGGGGCTCGAATTGTTCTTCGCCTTTTGTCATAGGCTGAGAAGTATAATGTTTCCGAGCTGAGCTTCGACTCTAAGTAACTCCACACCGGACTAAACTTTTTGATTTTCGACCGGCCGTGTGAGGAATACAATCAATTTGCGGGCATCATGAAACGCCCGGGCTTCCGGCGTCTTCATCTGTCTTTACTTACTGGCAGTAGTGGTGACTGGACAGGATTCTAAAGCGGATTATTCCGTCAAGCTATGAGCCTGGCCAAGGAATTGACCCATGTCCATTTATCAACTACATTCAATGATGGATCTCATTCTTCAATGAGGGATCCACCTATTCCCCTAAAGGAGGTTCTGCCTATTAAGGAGTGGCCGAATCTGTCTCACTTGGCGCTCTTTCGTTTCAGCGTCGATACATCGGAGTTGATGGACATACTCAAATTGGCACCATCCTCATTACGATTTCTTGACTTAGAATTTATCGAGTTCCCCTTTGATGAATTGTGCTTGACTGGTCTACTAGAGAGGGTGCGAGGGGAGCTGGATTGGACCGAGAGAGATCGACCACTGAAACCGACCGTCACTATCGCGATGGAAGGCCATCGCATATGGCCGGGGAGGTTCATCAAGCTTCCAGACGAGGTGGCAAGCTTTCTCTATGGCTCTGGAGAAAATCCCCTGGATGGAACAGATACACGCAGCCCCAAAGACGGATGCGGGACGAATCATGACCTTTTTGAGGCGGAGTACACTCGGCCCAACTTCCCAACGATAAGTGATTAACTAATACAATCTGGAATATAGGCTTTCTTTAAGCCCGAGAAGATAAGTTGCCTATATATTTCTAAGGTAGTCCGGCCACTTTCTCACTCATTTACTTTTATCTAGACACTGGCTTGGCTAACGAAAATCGATTCGCCTCGTGTATATGAAGATTTTAGGCGTTATTATTCCTTCTTCTTCCGCTTAGTATACGCTATATACAGTTTCTAAGAGACGGCTCGGGGATTAGGTGCTATATTAGAATAAGGTACGTATATCTAGTGGGTATTTGTAGGCCTTGACAAGTGCAGCGGTACTGGTGCAGCGGTACTGGTGCAGTGGCTGCACCAAGGCCTTAGTTCGGTGCAGTGGTACGCGGGGCCGACTGCACCAAGGGCGAGGTTCGGTGCAGCGGTACTTTGGCTGCAGTGCAGCTGCACTATAAACAATGCGAACATTGCCTAATTCGGCTTATCCCGTGACTTATATATGTAATTTATGTAAATTACGGCATTGTTGGTTACCAGATCGGCGGTATCAAGCCGAATGGGGTAATTTCTTGGCAAATCTGGCCTTGGCAGCACCTGGCTGCACTGCCAAGAGGTGCAGCTGCACGAAGGTTCGCTGCGCCGGGCAATTGCACCAAATTTCTCGAGGTGCAGCTGCACTTGTCAAGGCCTAGGTATTTGGATGGCTTTCACCGATATGACTTAAGGTTCGTGGTAGGGTTAGGGGCTTTAGCCTAGCACGTAGGTTCCGTCCCACTAGTCTAAAAGTAGGATATCCTTAAAATAGGTCGATATATGTCGAACAAGTGGGACTTATGTGAACTAATACCAAAAGCTTACTATGCCGAGCAAGTGGTAAAATGAGTGTAATTTCTAAAAAGGAGCAAGTTGCTCAGCTTGGTAGCTTGCTGCTTGCTGACTAAGTAGAGCTAAAGTGGGCCCTGCAGCTAGAAAGTAAATACAGGAAATGACGGGACGGGGAAGTGTATTTCCGACTGACAATATATCTCTATCGCTTTTATAATTTAATGCTCCGTATTTCGATACTCCTTAGAAATCTAGGTGATTTGGTACTAGCAAATAATCTGGTAATTCACGACTACTATAGCAATTTAAGAAGAGACTTTGACATAAATTGAGTCAGGTGGTATATCGGAACCTTAAAAGGATTATTGAGATATAATCTATCGTATGAATTTCTTCATTTATTATCGAGCGCTATATGATCACCAGCTAGGACCTATAGGATGAAACATGAAAAAATCCACCTTTTTATACTCAAACATAGAAGGAAATGGAACATATCTATCTATGGTTGCCAGACAAAGGTTAATAGCAAAATCAGGAAACGCTTTAACGAGTCTAGACCTAATAATCGGGGGGAAGGCTTTTCGAAGATTAGGCAGATCTCCAACTATCATTTTTATAGCCAGTTTCCTTGACTCCTAATAGTTGGCCCGAGTCGAATAGAGCTCATCAATTATCTCTATGAACTATTTCTTATCAGAAAAATCCACGAAAGATGCGCAAAATTGCTCGCGCGCTTTAGTTTTCAAGTCGTCGATCATAAAGTAATCTGCCTCGCCATATATACGCATATGGAAATAGCATAGATGACAATCAACCAAGGTATCGGCGATCGGCTCTCCGATATCCCCTGGATTGCTTAGGTCTTTTACGGGAGGTTGGTGAATTAGTGCTGGTTTTTCGCTATTCAGAGATGCATCGGCGAGCATCACCAATCATCCGCAATACACCTCCGGGCAAAAATCATCAATTTTCTCCCAAGACATGCTCATCTCGTCACCATCGCATATCATCGTCCATAGATCCCATAATGCCCTCGTCCAACATTTCATCCATCCCGGAAAGGTATCATACTGGTCGACATTGGGCCACGCTTCGAGGACCTTCACATAACGCTTTGTTTCGTCTCTCTTGTATTCAGTCTCCTGCTCCAGGGCCTCCGCCGACGTACCCAGCAGCGTTTGCAGGCATTCCTCATCAATGACTATGCACATTCGATATTTGTTGAAAGAATCACGCTGACCCTGCATATCCACCCATGCCTCAAAATGAGCGCGTATCGAATCAATTGAGGCGCCATCGAAGAGAGCCGCGTCTTCCATGACGGTTGAACTATGTTTGGCCCAGATTTCCTCGTAAATGGCGGGATCTACGCCAGGTGAACTCTCGTTTTTAGATGCGCATTCCCTGAAGAATGATTTTTTGACAGAGGCCTCGACATACTTGACCGCAGTGGAGAAGTGGGCGTCAGATTCAGGGGAATAACTGGTGCGATATATGACATATCCCCAGTTCGGATGGACTTTGAGTTTGTGATAAAGCTCCCATGTGGATGCGGGCGGACGAGCGAAAGTCATATCGTGTGTGAAGATTCGGAAGGGAGCGCGAAGGATGAGAAGCCCGAAAGTGAAGAATTTTGAAACTGTCGGAATTGATCACATACAAGTCTCATTGTCAGTGACATGTAAGTTTACAATTGTTTGAATTTGACCAGAAGACTTGGGGGGCTGGTTGGGACCCAAAAAGAGTTGAAAAACGAGAAAGGTTTACATTTAAAAGTCCGATGCTCGCTGTAAGCCTGATTTCCAGCCTAGGAGCCTAGAACCTAGCTAATTAGATTTAAGTAGAGATTCCTTTAGCTCTTCGGACTATACCGTATATAGTGGTATCGCCACTTTGCTAAGCGCTCCCACCGAGTAACTAAGCCAAATCTAACTTTATTCGCTTAGACGGCATTCCCGAGTCCGCCCTAAATCGCTCTTTTTAGATTAGGAAAGCCGATAAGATTACATTTTAATAACAATATAGATATTCCGGTCGGTTTCTAAGTTTCTCCACGATTGGAAACCGGTACTATACCATCTTCGCTATTGTTAATGCTACTATCGTGCCCACTATATATTTCTTTTTCCCCGAGACCAAGGGATTGTCACTAGAGGAGATCGACGAGATTTTCGCGCTATCCAAATCTATCTTCGACCCGCCTATCTCTCGCGCTATGCAAAGAATGCAATTCAAGTGAAGGTATCGAACATCGATTGTGGCGATAATACCCTAGTGCTGTTGGCCTTAGTGAACAGGTCAAGGCGTGAGGACCGTGAACTACGTTCTAACTAGATAGATTCGGAGCATCACTTAGGATGTCCTAGTGAGCTATGGAACTTGTAAATATGACCTTCAATATTTATATAGTCGTTCTATTATTCTTAACTTTTTTCCCTTCGCGACTTCATTTAATGCGATTATCCATCACTGCGATTCCTAATGAAGGCATTCTCGGAGACATTAGAAGCAAAAGAACTCCGTTTCAGAGCTTTGATGGAATTTCAAGGTGCAACATCTACGTAGATATGTATTTTCTATAAAGACGCTCAGTGCATGGCCACGAAAAAGTTGTACGGACCTTACTTGATCATCGCGCTGATTTGAATGCTGAGGGCGGTTATTTCCTATGTCCGCTATGGGCAGCACTAGTCCACAGCCATGGAAGAATTGTTCAGATAATGCTGAGCAAGGCGCCAATGTGAACGTCCAGGGCGGATACCTTGGGACTACACTCGTGGCGGCATCGGTCCATGGCAATGTGAAGATCTTCCAGATGCTACTAACTCTTGGTGTCGACTTCAACGCCCAAAGTGGATATTTTGACATTGCACTCCATGCTGCGTCAGCATATGGCCATGAGTGGATTGTCCAGATGCTACTGGATCGTGGTGCCGATGTGAATGCCATATACCAAGGCCCACGTTGTGGGGCTGCACTTCAGATGGCGTCAAAGGGAGGGTATGAGAGAATTGTTCATATACTATTAGATCACGGTGCTAAAGTGAACGCAGTAAGTGGAAGGTGCTATGGAAATGCACTTGTGGCGGCATGTAAAGGTGGCCATGAGAGAATTGTCCAGATGCTACTGAGTCATGGTGCCGACGTAAATTCGCAAGGCTTATCCGTTGGAAATGCCCTTCAGGAGGCATCATCGCATGGCCATGAGGGAATAACTTAGATTTTATTAGACCATGGCGCTGTCGACAACAAAAGAAAGAGTGGTTAAAGGTGTTTGTCTCTTAATAAAGTTCGCAATCAAGCATCAAGCCCAAATTCACTCGCTCATTCGCTATTGGTCCATAATAAGGCTTATGATCTTTGAATTCAATTTTTCGTCTATCGGGGCCCCGCGGAAAAAGGTATCAGACTTAATGAACCCCCGGAAAGAATTACCGGAGCGAAGCACCGGTTAGGGAGAAACTTCATATGGGAGCATAATCCAATACCGCTTGGAGCTTTGACAATCATGTAACGAATGTTCCAAGCCGGACACTACCTAGTCCACGGGTATTCCCCTTGTAAGGACCTTTATCTGTTACATTTAATCGCTATAGCTAAATAGTTATAGCCAAGATAAATAATAGAACGGATAACGCTACTAGCAAAGATCTCCCTCACCCGGCCACTTTATAGGTAGGTAGCGTTCTTTCCTAATCTCTATAAGTCGATGATTAAGGAATAAGCATAGATCGTGCTCGATCACTTCTAAAGGAACGTCATGGAGAATAAAGTCCTTATAAGTATGGCTCGCAATCACTGAAAATCCGAGACGGATTGGTAAATCGGGTCGACTTGTTAAAAGCACTCGTGGACGTAGAGTAGCTAGTTTCCGAAGTCATGAAAGGAGTTGGAGTATAAGCCAGATGTCACTATCTCCTTCGCATTCGTCTAGTGCGTTAAACACTATTATCACAGTCTGAACCGACGTATCGGATCGCTCGAGCTTTTGAAGTGGTTGAAAGAGTAGTTTTTCGAATTGCTCCCGCATTGCTTTTGCTACAATCCCTGGATTGTCACAGACTGCTTGGTGTAAGACTGGTTGGTATAAGTTGAGGGTTGGTAATTGCTAGTTGCCTTGCAAGTGTCGGAAAAAGCTTCCGTATATTCCCTCGGTCCCCGTCACCTCTCTCAAAGAAGAAGCTTGCTCCTAGTGACTGCGCTTCGCTGAAACCTTTCGCCATTGTTCGAGAGATAGTTGGCTTTCCTGTTCGAGCTATTCCATTTAGCCAGAATGTACCCTTTCTATCTGGTGGCCAAGCCCACTCTCTAATTTGATCGAGGATATCGGTCCGTGTGCCGGCAAGACATTCGTGTTTATGCTGGTTTTCGTATGACTCACACGCAGCCCCAGGCACAATAGGTGTCCCGTCACCGTATATATTTATAGTAGTACTTACATGGTGTATACTTTCCAAGTAACAACTTTTTTCTTAATTTTTAACTACTAGGCTGTAAACAGAATACTGAATAATATCGCCGAAACCTGCATACTTATGCATCTAAGCAGATTTCCATGTTTGTCATGTCTGTCGGCCCTCAAAATGTTTGGAGGGCCGCCCTCGGGGGGCAAGAAAATAACCCGCCCGACCCGCGGGCAGGCGCAGCCCGCCCTCCGCCCGCAGAGTGCGGGTTTGAGGCCTCGTTATAGCTAGACAATTAAAATTAGAGGATATCTCGCTTAGTCTTCGCACTATAAAGGAGGTAGGGATTATAAGATACCACCGACAGGCTTAGGCAAAGTATCTATAGAAGGGCTCGGAGATACGGCTACCGGGCTGGGGGGTAATTATATAATGTCAACGTACGATCTCGGGGTATAAACTATAGCAGATATTAGGGCGGAAGTAGGGGATTATAAATCAGATACTTACTAAGAACCTATTTAACAATTTGATCCAGCTAATAAGTGCCTTTCTTGAATAGGGCTAAGCGTCTTAGTCAGGTCGGTACGATCGGAATGAGTCTTGCGACCGTGAATGCGGTACGGAACTGAGAATTCTCGCGCCCATAGAGCAATTTTGGGCTTTTTTCTCTTCCATATTAGGCTTTAACAGCCTTTGAGATTTCATCCTTTGAAATTTGGGCTTTTTTGGCATCGTGTTGTAGTACAAAAATGGGTATAAAGTTGATACAAAAAAGAAAAAGTTCTGTTTAGTGGTACGGACCCATACCTAGAAAAGGTATGGGGGCGGTAGGACGGCTAGGTTGTAGTTTTCTATTTTTACGTACGAAAGGTCCTTACGGTAGGCGCAGGGGTCGTCGTCCTGTTGCGATTTTAGGTGCGGGGTTCATTTCCATTTCCAACGTCCCCGAAGAGAACGTTGACAATTGGCACGAATGGATTCCACTGAATATGCAAATCGGTGGAATTTGGCAAAGCATCTACACATAAATTCCCTGGGTCCAGTGCAGTCTAATGGATGGCCAAGCGCTCACGAGAGGTTGTTCTCGGATGTGCAGAAGCTAGGCAGGCGGGAGTTTGATGAATTTATAGAAAGTATCACTATCGATACCCTTGAAAAACCCTGGAGGAATGCCACTCGGAACCGTGCTGTGCGTCTCTCGAAGCTAGCCGAGGAATGTATGAGGGGGCTACGGAATGAGAGCACGTGGAGATTCACTATCGAAAACGAAATTATGCATCGGTTCTCAGTAGAGGTCGCTTGGTGAGAAAACCCCCCTGAATGCTCGTTTCTGATTCAAAGTACTAATGAATTTTCAGTACCCAATGCCGCAAAAGACTCTGGGAGTCCGAGATTCCTGCAGCAACGGACATCATCAACACGCAGGTGGAGTCACTGGAAGCTCGACGTCGCAAACGTATGCCTTGCCAATGTCTAAGGGGTTGGGGGCAGAATCTGTATGTGCTAGCATCTTCTTGAATCATTTTTCTGGTCACTCACACCTATAATAGAGATGATGGTGGTATCAATATGCTCTTTTCAAACCGGGCCGAGGCAGCAATAAAACATTATCCTGCATTAGAGATTGCTGCTCAACCAGGAAGACTGAAGAAGTACGAAGCCCCTGATCGTGTCTATGGGCTCAAGCAGACTGATAACTTCAAAATACTACTGGATTCCACCGACTCGCGAAGCCTGATGACCTCCACCAGGCGGATACTACGTGAAGCTATAGAATACAGTCCATTCGGTCCCGAGGGCGAGCCATTGCTATACCCATTTCTGATCATGGAGGCGAAGCCGAGCAACAGCGCAGGTCGAGCAGAGGTAGACATGCAAACGGCATTCTGCATCAAACGACTTTTGAAACTGCAGAATGATCTACGAGCGGCGACAGGAGATGACACGCAATGGCCTACAGGTCCACTTGTATGGTTCTTGAACTGGAGAGGGGAGAGTTGGGATGTCTCTGCGGGGTTCACCGAGACACAGCTGGACATCAATGTAAACCCAGAGATATACTACGTGAGCGATTCTCATTGCCGACACACTCGGATCTCAATTACTGCGGACTAAGATATTCTAGACTATTGTTGATTTGTGGCACGGCGATATTTGTGGCTTGGACGGAGCTTTGCAGCTTCTACTAATTGTTGACTATATTTTTGATTGGGCTCGCGACATCTATCGCCCGGCAATATTGGGCGAGTTGGATGTCTTGGCGACAGGCGATATCACGGCAGCTGACCCGGACGTCTTTTCCACGATGTCTAGGAGAATATCAAGCTGGATGAATGCGGCAACTGATATCCAAGCAACCCAGGCGTCATTTATCGGCGAACCTCCGGATTTGAATTACTTGAATATTGTTTGCCAGGAAGGCGTTATTCGAGATGCCTCGGTGATTGAATCGCGGTATCTTGGCCTACAGATCACCGAAAATGACGTCGATACATTTTTGCTCTCATTCCCATCTGCCAAGGAGGCAAACATTTGGCTTTCTGATATCCTGAAATGTCTTTCTGGATCATGGAGAGTAAATGCAGAGACCATTGATGCATTGGAAAGCTTCTGGACTGTGGAGCCTAGACCGACTCGCGAGAACTTCAGGCGTGACGAGGTTTTTTATCTCAATATCGCCATTCACATGTTTGTCTCTGAAATGTGGGAGCCGATCCGACAGCTCACTTGCTTTTCTATCACCGAAAGCGCCTTGCGCATCATTCTCTACAGAATTGGGCACATTGATGTCCCTGATTTCGCACAACACCCGCAAGTGGGGAGAAACGCCATCGAAACTCTTCTTGGTCGCATAATGAAACAATCTATTATGGAGAACTTGACTGCAGTTGTCTCTATGCTCTGCATGACAAGCAACTTTCACAGGAAAGGCAGCAGGGATCAATGCAAGGTGATAGTGACGAGATCCAATGGGGTAAAAGCTGGATTTCGAGTCGACAAGTCATCTCAACTCATAAGATCTGTGATCTCTGTTTACGAATCCCACAAGATTGGACAACGAGAGCCGCAGGACGCTTATCTACGCTTTTCACGTCTTCAGTGCCAACAGTTTATTCAACAGAGAGAAGAAGAGATCGCGATATGGCCACAGCTTCCTCCTCTGGGCCTTGATCAGAAAAAGAAGGGAGTTTTGGTCGACGGTTTGTATCAGAGTGAAGAATGCCCAAAGCATTGCCTTTACGTTGTCAATGGTTCCGATGATCTCGAAGATTTACCTGATATGCTTGATAGAATGTCAAGGGATGGGCCTTATTTTAAGACAATACAACTACGCTCTGGCCAGTGGAACGAAGACAAACTTTGCCATATGAACAGCCCAGTGAAGCCTAACGGGAAGTGGAGCTCAAAGAGGGACTCAGATTCTTTTGCTCGGTGGATACAACTTCTAGACACTGAGCAAACGCAGCGAAATCATCGAGCAGGGGACAGATCATCATCACCCATGGTCATCTCATCGGATGAAGAAGTCGTAATTTGAAGAGTCCGATGGGCCTAGTCCTTATACGTCTTACTCTCTGGAAGTCTTGGTTCTCCGGGTCGAGAGCAACGATGGGATAGAATGGCAATAGCAACACTTACGAAAATCTCCTTGTCCTCTTAATTTCAAGGATACCTCGGGCCAACTTGCAATGTATTTGATTTTACCTCAGTTATTCTGTACTCTTATACTCTATTCCGAATAAATGCACATCGGGAGAGAGAGTCGAGAAAACGCACAGGTTAGATATAAGCACAAGAGAAATAGACTCCAAGTTCTAGGATATTGGTTAGATGCACTCTCTACAAATAAATGATCTATGAAAAGCCAGAAAGTTTACGGGAAAAGAAAAGAAATAGAAAGATGAGACCAAGGAGAAAGGAGAGAGGAGGTAAGATTAACAACCAGGAAAAGAAGAGAAAGCTAAGTGTGCTCTTGAACAGATATCCTGGGGCTCATGCTACACCTGGTGGAAACGATGCCGCAATGCAGACCTGGGCTGACCCTCGGACTTCTTGGCCTGCAGGATACCTCAGGGAGACCTCCAGGTTACGACCAGTAAGGCGTGCGAGAATATCATACCAGACCACATAATATCTGTTCCCTGCATTTTCTTCAAGCTGCAATGGGTACTGATCCATTAGCTCTGTGAGATCTACCACGATCAGTGCGGCAGATTGAGAAACTAAAATGAAGTCAGCCAATGATCAAGACTGGACAATGTAATGAGTGGGGGTTCCGTAATAGACATACCCCCTCTATTCATCTCGTGTTCTAACTGATAGTGGTCCTTGATATCGTTCTTTTCAGAATAAAAGAGCCTTTGCCTGATTTCCAGATCTTGACCTTCTTCGATGATCTGGAAGTACTTTTCCGTGAAAGTTTCGTCAAATTCTACGACGCGACCCTTTTATGGGTTAATATGGAATGGTTGGGAGATATGGACAAGGCTCATACCTTTTTGATAATCCAATTCAAACAATTGTCGATGTAGTACGTTTCGTTGTTTGGGTTAAAGTAGGGAACAATGTTTCGATGTGCCACAAGCTTTCTGTTTTGTGGCTCAATTTGTAGGATGCCAATGTTTGCAAGGATTTTTCGGCAAGGTCCGTTGCTCTTGTCTATCGCACGATAAACAGCTCCGCCAGAGACAATCGCTTCCCATCCACTGGAAATATGCCCTCAAGTTAGCCTTCAAGTTGATGAAGAATATAGGTAGACTGACCTGTCTTTCGGATAGCTCAATTGAAGGCGTTGAAACCTTTCCCCCATGAAGTGTCGGAATGTGTTGGACTGCGAGTAACCGCCGACAAAGATGACTTTCTATGAAAGGAAAAACTTCATTAACTTGTTTCCCGATCAGGCGACGAAAAGGAGGTTACCTGTATGACCAGCTTCTTCTTTGCAGAGATATTGAGCTGTTCCTGGATTAAACGCGCGATACCTTCAAGGCTTGGTTGAAACCATTGTTCGACCTGACTCCTAGAACAAATCCATCAATCAGTAACTCACGGAGAAAATGATTAAATCAATGAAAGGGGGTGTAGAACCTAGATATCTTAATCATGTTGCTTTCAAAGCTAATACTGCCCTCGAATCCGGCTTGTAGATTTGGCTCTAATCCGTGGAAGTCGAGATATTCATACCCGTCTAAGCCGAGACTAGAATCGAAATTACGCTTCAGCTCTTCCTCAAACTTTCGAAAAACATCGTGAAAGAGTTGATATTCGGCTGATATTCCCTTCTCGGACAGGACTGCGTCAGATTCTGAGTCGGAGTTGAAGCGATCTTGGAGGTCTTTCTCCATGGCCCGGTTGACGCAAGTAGAACCATAATCTGCACCTATTCCAAGCTTCAGCTGAAATACTTTGACTAAAGTATATGGCCCTTACCGGTAGGGGCAATTGCCTCACCCAGGCGAAGTGGACTTTGTGCCTTTACGGTATAAGTGGTGATATCCTTTTGGAAAGGTTAGTCGTAATTGGCAGTGTACTCCGTTATATATCTTACCACTGTGCCGCCTCCAGCATCGCACACCAAGAATGTTTCCCCTTTCTTCGAAGGTGAATGATTAGTTTGTTTAAACTGATACGACAGGACTGAAGAATCCGCATACCTGTAACCGTTTGGTACCGGTCATCACGTCAAGGGCAAACGCTGCAGCTGCCTCGGGCTCATTGATTATGAACAAGTCTAGCGCTTCAGATGGTTGACATAGTGAAGCCTTCACTGCGGCTTCTCTCACTATTTCTTGCATGGACCAAGAGGTTCGCATAGCCCATCCGGCGGGAGTAGCCAGGGAGAATTCCACTGGGCTTGTCTCCCGAAATGTTTCGTGGTCCTTCAAATGCTTTTTGGTATAACAAAAGACTTCAACCAAAAAGTCTGTAATAACATCTTTCACCGTTTTTCCCAAATGTCTGAGCGTCTCTTTCACCTCGCTTAATGCATCGTTCCTTCCCAAATCTGGACCAGGATTTTCTAGAATGAGTTTAGTGAGTCTGATGAGCCTGTTGGAAGCATTTAATGATGCCCCAGTCGAGTGGGCATGCTTCAAGTGCCTGCGTGCCTCATAGCCCCAATAGTATTCATTACTCCCCAGGTAGAATATCTCGCTTGGAACTTCGCCTCTGCTCTGATCCCGACCTGACCCTGGCCAATGAGTGACGGACTTGATTGCATTCCGACCCACATTCACTGGACGTTTCCCAGACTTGAGCTTGTAGTATGATACTGATGTCATGGTTGTTCCGAAATCGAGGCCAATAATGAACCTTGGTCCGGGACCATTTTTGTCGTTCGCGCTCGCAGTTTTCACGGGGATCGAAGGCCGAGGGCTGACCGTGTCACGTCCCGACGTAGTCGGTGTGACTGAACTTTCATTCGTGTCCTTGGTTGTTCGAGCTTGTCTTTTTCGGTAGGCTATATCCTGAGATAGGTTTCGCTTAGCGGCCATTTTGGCGCGTTGTGGAGTGGCCGCGATGGAAGAACGTGAGGAAAATGCGATGACAAGCCCAGCGGCCTCCGACGAACCTCCTCTCATCGGGCTGATTGCAAGGCGTTCTCGCGATATTCACGCTAGCAGGGTTCTCGTTTCACTAAGAACGCAAGTTGACTGCGCCACTTGTTGGGCCCCAAAACCGCCCCCTTTCATCCTCATCAGCGGCGAAAAAACCCCCCCTTCTCCATTCATAAATATTTTGCAATCATGTCCCTGGCTTGATGTTAAAAAATTATATCATTAGAAAGTCCAATTGTCTTACCGAGGGTGGATAATTGACCACGACGCCCTCACGGTCGCAGTCCATCGATCAGCAACTCAAGGGCTCGCTCGCAGAGCACGTATTTTTCAACATGAATCGTCAGTCACCATATACACATTCCTCATCCAGGGCAGACTCGGTCAGCTCAGATAGTAAATGGGGAAAATGGCACTGGGATTTCAGCCCAGTGCCACAGCCACGAACTGCAGATCAAGATCTCGCCCTCATCTTGACCAACAAGCGAAGTCGAACTAAACCCACACGGTTTCCGGAGCGTGAGATCTATAGTGGCGAGGCAGACCAGCCCCTCCACGACCAGGAGACACCAAAGAGCGGGGAAAAACGAAATTTGGCGGTAGAGGTAGGGGTGCTTACGGATACCGATGGCTCCGGTGAGGGCACGTTTCGAAGATCAAACCCGCTGATTGTGATTTAAAGATCGAGCCACCCATTCGCAAAAAGAAAGATTTGGTCTGTGAGGCAACCGCCTTCGGATCAAATCGAAACGACACCAAGGATAACACTATTAGTTCGGTATCCGCTATCGAAACCACGCCTTTAAAGGGCGACGACGAGTCATCATGTGAAGTAAAGCTTCTCAAGCATCAGATTGATCTCCTAGCTACGTGGCACAGCCATATGTTAAAAAATTTGGAAGACCAACTTCTAATCTTGAAGGATGAAAACTCAAAGCTTTACGGACATCTGGAATGGTACCGTAAAATGGAAAAGGCCAAAGCAGACTACCCCGATGAGGATGTGGACAAGGTTAAAGAGTTGAACGCGGAGCTTGAGCGCAAAGACAACGAAATTGGGGAGAAGATCAAACAGAATGAGTGTCTCACAGAACAACTTAACTCGGCGGAGGGATTGAATAGCATTTTGAAAGACTTCAAATCTGGCCACGTTGTGGCTACAAGATTTTTAGAGGAAATGATCAGACTTGAAACAAACACGTCCAGAGCTGCCCGCGTCTTTGTGCAATGTTTGTCTGGCCCTAAGATAGCAGAACTAGGGATGCCGCCCAGGGGAAAGACGAAGCTTGACTCACTGGTTAAAGGTACACTTGGTACAATGGATCTACTCTCAACTTACCCCAAATTGGCAATGTGTGCCCTTATTTCTGGATTTATTCGAGATCAAGTGTTTCATGCAGGCTGCTGGACGGCTCTTGCTCACGAGGGATACATGTTGAGGGGCTATCAAGAGATCATTCATAAAAGCTGTAAGTTTTGAATGGCCACCTCAGACTGCATTACCCTAATGAAATAAAGTTCCCCAGGGCACCATTGAAGGCTTTCATCGAGCTGCCACTGAGGTGATGTTGGAACAAAACCACCAGTTTCGCGATTGCTGGGTTCAATCTCAAGTGGAAAACGCACAATGCACATTTCTAAATCTTTGCATTTCATTTCTCGATGAGAGCAAAGTAAAAAATGCAGAAAAGGACATAAAAGAGGCTTTAAACCGTCTTCTGACAGACGCTTTTTATTTCCGTGCCCGTTGCATACCCCCCAATGGCAGTCACTACGAACTGATACACTTCGAGCCAGGAGATGTATTTGATTCAAATTTCATGGAGGCACGGGGAGTGGATGGCACCACTGTTTCTGTTTCTGACGGGAAAACTCATCTGATCAGGCTTTGTGTTCATGGGTGTCTGGTTGCTCATGCAATTGAGGTGAATTCGATTGGTGCAGGCTCTCCGAACAGGCTCGGCCAAGCCTTCATCTCCACCATGGATGAAGGTATTAGTACTACAGGAGGGGGAATTTTGAAGAGCGAGAAAGCCATTGTGTTATTAGGTGATACTCTCGAGCCATGATCTCCACAGCACATAGAATTCACCTTATATTTCTATCTAATTAATCAGTCTTTGAAGTTGGCTAAAACCCCTGGGGAGAGAGGCGGTGTATCCAGAATTCGTTGGATGGACGCCACTATCGGAATTGACAGTGATACGGTGATTCCAGGATATACTCCAGGAGTATACCCAGGGGTAGGGGAACTTAGGGATATATAAGGACACTCATTTCCAGTATCTAGTTCAGTTCTCCGTCTTCAATTATACATTGTTACTTGTGTTTACCTTTGGATTATGTAAAGGTATACTGTTTCCAGGTGTATGGCCTGTCAACCGGGTAAGATACTATGGCTTGGAGGAGAACACAATGTATTGTCTGGAGTGCCAAGACTAATTCTTGCCAGTCCCTTTTCGGGACCCTGGGGGGTCCCAGACTATGAGGGATCTATCTCTTCCAATGTCGACATGCATATCATGTGATGAACCCCTCTCGGATCGGCCACGACTGGTGTCGATCTGCCAAGACTGCCTGACATGGTATTCTCTTTGTAAGGATCTTTATCCGTTACACCGCTCGCGGGCGGGTTTGAGGTCTAGTCTTCGCATTTCGCACGCTCGTAGTTATACCGTTTCGCGAATCGAGAGGAGAGGAGAGGACAGCAATGCAAGTCAGTAATGAATGCTATAGACTTCACAGCATCAGAGCCATATTTGCGAAACACGTAAGGAAATATAATTCTGTGGAGCCATTCTAAAAGAAAAAGAAAAACAACACATGTAAGGCGGAAGCTATAAGATAGCACTGTTCCCCAAGCAGCCAAAGCGCCTCTGAGGCCGAGTGTTTTGCTGTTCTTTTAGAGCTTGCCTCCGCAGAAGATCTGAATCCTTTATACTAAGCTATAGCGCCCCACCTTAGAGGGTCGAGGCCTAGTCGAATCAAATCGTACTTTAGTAAGGGGCATCTCCTATCGCTTCCAACATAGTTGTACAAATATAGTTATCACAAGTCTACTCTATATTTATCTAGACATCGCTTGGCTGTTGGTATTCAGGTGGGTTTGAAGTAGATCGAGGCGAAGGCGGTCCAAGTCTTAGTGCAGCTGTGAGGTATTTTTCTTCGGAAGAAGAGACCGGATTGTATCGACAAAATAGCGTCAAAATAGCCATAATTTATAGAAGATCCAATGGTGTGTTCCTAGCAACCAGACCCAAAGCTTTAATAGCGAGGCCCTCTCCGCTTGACCAATTGACCGTCTCAGATACGATCGGTTACGATAATCTGATTCATAGCGTTAGTGGAGTCGAACTGCTTAGAAAACAATCGATTCATTTCCTAGGAGTAAGTTAGCTTCTTGCATAAACCCAGCAAGGAAGGGCTACTGACAGATAATCCAGGTGATAATCCAGCTTTAGGTCTACTTTCGATGAATTTTGCTTGATAAATGACTCCCAAACCTGCAACCCAAACCATTTGTCTAATGTATAGCGTTAGCAATATGTGATCATCTCAACTTAGCTTTGATTTTCACCTTGATCATACGAGCGACATAAACCATCCATTTCGGAAATGTCTCTCTTTTCGACTACTTCAAATGTCCACAACGATGTGTTTTCAGCAGTTTTACTGGCCATTTCCACTTGAGAAGCGATAATTGCAGGTTTAAATGACTCTTAGTAGTCTTGGCTACGGCCAACTTGTACGAAACTTCTCAGTTTGTGGAAGTGATCAGGCGTTTCCATCATAATTTGAAAATGGCGCAAAGTAAATGTTCCATAACTGTTTCATATTTATAAAGAAGATTGAAGGAAAACTGATAAAAATATACCACTATGCTCCGCCTCTCAATTTGAGGCTGAATGACCACGGGGCTTTTCTTGCATTAGTGTAGCAGCCTCGCAAGCACAGCGTCTGCACGCGTACCTAACCGTCATAGGTGGTTGATAATGAGGATATTCTTAGAAGGTTGGTATCGAAAGGAAGTTCTGCCTTGGGAACAAAGGCGAGGCCTAAGCGCCGCCTAGCTCGTTGTACTTACATAATGTTATAGGACAACGCAACCACTAATAATATGTCATTTAGGGATGAAAGATAATCTAAGATCATTACTCTAATATAAAACTAATGGTCAAGCATGCAATGTTAGCTTAAGGGCAGAGCATCCAGCGATAATAGGTTGTTTCAATCATACTAGAATATAAAATATGTCTAAGTTTTCCCGATCAAAGAAGTGAGTTTCTATTCTAGTATAATTCAAATTAGAATATAGCTAAAAGGATTGAGTTGATTTTTTTAGCCTTGAACGGGCTAAACTGGAGATTGGCCTACAGCTACATTTTCACCTTCCACGCCCGCTAAATGATTCTATGACGAAGGTGAGCTCTATAATAAATCTCGTGATCAGAATTTAATCTCGAGATAGAAGGTCGGTAAGCATTTTATTCTGAGGGAGCTCCGTATGACGAGATTGTCCTAGCGATCAAGTCGAGACTATCCTATGATGTATCATCAGAGTCAGCCACGACTTTGTTCTTCGCCGGAATCGGAATACTCGTTGTCTAGAACTTCCTAAGAAGCCATTCGGACTCTTCTCTACGGCCATCTAAACAAATCGTGAAGTACGCCAAGCCTTTAAAGGGCCGTTCAGATAGGGCGAATAGAAGCATAACAAAGGAGAACTTTTCATCGACTGAATTCCAACAGCTAAGTGATGCCAGATGAATATAGAGCAGACTTGTGATGACCATATTTATACAACTGCGTTGAAAGAGATAGGAGATGCCCTTGACCAAATTATAATTTGATTTGACTAGGCCTTGACCCTCTAAGGTGGGGTTCTATAGCTTAGAATAAAGGATTCAGATCTTCTGCGAAGGCAAGCTCTAAAGAGCCGCAAAAAGCTTGGCCTCACCGGCGCTTTGGCTCGAAATAGGGGAAAGTTGATCCTGTAGCATGAATTCTTCCGCAATATATAGTTCGAGCTTGTTTATGTATCTATCGCTTAAGGGCTGCTTATGATACCGAACTAAAGTGAGATACTTCACGGTTATGAAAATTAGCCTTCCTTTTTGTACATCACAAAGTTCTAATCTTTGGCTCAAATCCCATTCAATCAAAAAATTATAGACCAGTACCAACATTGCGTAAATTCAAATATAATAGTTAAATCATGTCAGTCACGCCCAGATTTTGATTGACGGATTATAGGATCACTTAGGCAAGAGTCATGGTGTTTTCGCATTAGCACTACTCATAGACATCATGTAAATCCTGTAAATCTTAGAAGCGAAACGATGTAAGTGAACGCCTCTTGTTTCGCACTTCCATTTTGCTTATATCTACATCATTCCAACGAAAAGTACCGCTAGCAGAGACATGATCTGCTAGCATCGTTTGAGGAAGCTATACAAAATCGGCAGCGATCCTCGTTAGCATCCGTCTGAACAGAATAGTAGAACCTAGGTGGTACATTTGTGAGATTAAGAGTTTTTCTAAGAGAAAGCAAGATTAACTAGGCTATTTTTCCTTGATACGGTTCAGATCGGTAGTGCCTTTGCTAAGTCTTCCTATAGATATACGGTCTCGTTAAAGTCCTGAAGTTGGTAGATGTGGTACTTAGGTGTGTATTTATTATCAGCGAAGAGCAGGCCGTACGGCCAGCATTGTACAGTTAATCTGCATCATCCCTAGGCGCTGTCAAATTAGTATCTGATCTCTATCTTCGATGCTTTCTCTCTCGGAATAGTCGCTCTCGCTAGATGACTAGCGGTTGGCCTTATGAGAGTGGCAGCCTATGATAAGAAGGATTAGGCGTCGCGGTAGTACAAATAGGAAAAGTTGCAGAAGCTCCTGGAGGTAGACAATACGGTGATTACGACTTGAGTGCGAACCAGGCCGCTGCGGCGCGTTGAGGTCGCAGTGGGAGGGTGTGGCCGAAAAGTTGGCAGATAGGCGGCCAAAAACGACGTCGCTTACAGCCATTTCTAGCCATCTATGCCGTCATCTAGTTTAAAAGAGTGTTTTGAATGAAACGCACTCTTTCGCTGGAAAGTTTTGGCAGGTAATAGAAGCATTATTAAAATTTTGAGTCTCTTAGAAGGTAAATAGATGGTAGGATGGTGGCCGGTCAAGAAGACATTCTTCTTTTTGGACCATTTGCACAATTTTTGAAAAGCAGCATGTTGTGATCAAATTAACATGCCTATGAGGGGAATCAGTATTGGCGGGGAAGGACACGTCAGCGGTTTAGCGGCGTGCAGGATATTCAGGTGTAAAATAGTGTTGTTCAGAGCATTTAGGTGAATGGGCTAAAGGGGCTGAAGAGTAGGGCGGCAAGAGGGATTTTCCGAACGAATCCAAGAAAATACAAAAATAAAAACATACAACAGCATGTCTAAGGTGGTAACCTAGCGCCCACGGTTCGGGCATGGGCGGCTCGCCGCTCTATTCAGGGCACTTAGGGCGGATATTCACCCACCTGAATATTCCTCACCCGAATATTCAGCCCGTATAGCAAAAGGTACATTTCCCATTATGACCAAAAAAGCTATAAGTATCCTTCTTTTCCCCCGCGTTTTTTTCTCTAGCCTCGCTTTATCACGAGTAAGATACGTACTAAGTATAACCTAACGTTGAAATATATAGCTAATATTATAGATTTCGGGGAGTATAGTAATAATAAAATCTAGCGGGTAGTGCTACTACGAATAGAATCTAGTTATAGTTTCCTTCTCATCGAATATAAGCCACCACATAAACTCTCCAACTCTCCGTAGAGACTCTCCGGGCAGGACTGCGGCCGATGGAGTTGTGGGAAGAAATGGTCAAATGCAACGTGGTGCCTACGGACCCGGTGGAGAAACTTAAAAGGTTTGGAATGTTCTTCCATCAATTCCGTTTTCCCTCCCACCTTCGTTGAAGTCACAGTTAGGCGCTTCCATTCTTTCAGGCCCTGTTCATTGAATCCGATCAAAGTAGAACTGCTATCAATTACTTCGGAATCAACGGTGGCCGTGACAGCATTCCCTCAAAAAAATGGGGTGATGAACAGAAGCCCTATGAATTTTGCAAGCCTGTACAGTCACTGGTTAGACGTAACTAAAGCAACAATGAAACCGAATTTGAGGTTGTTAGACCTTCGCCCTAAATCATGGAGGTTGTAAGAGCTCTCCACAGTCACTCAATCGTAGTCGAGTCCCTACTCATGGCCGAATCCCTACTCGCGGCCAACCGCATCGAAGAGAATACTGAGGGCCATGAAATAACCGTCCCTTGAGCCCGAGCTTGACAATCTTTGAAGGGTCTGCGTAGCTACGCAATGGATCATTAGGCAGAGACAGAGAAGATCGCCTTAGCGAATGTTAGCTGGCCCTTCGCTCTTTTAAAACCTTTTAGGTAGCAATGTTGTCATCATAGACGCGGTATCTACGGGCAGCATGTGGCGAAGTTTATCCTACTTTAATTCCGATATCTAGAACAAGCTCTTCTGATCTTCTCTCCCTTCAGCTCCACATTGTGTATCTGTAGACATGTAGAACGATAGAACCCCGGATCACGACTCGACAATTCGACTGCCCATTGTCAAAGGTTCCAAAAGACCCATCAGAGGCACATAACAGCCAATACTGGTCTCGAAGGCGTCATAGCGGAATGGCAGAGAGCCATGATTGGTCGATGCTGTTTCTAAGTGACCATGACACTAGGTATCCTTGATGCTTTGACTTTCGGCTGGCCCGGTTGTCCATCTACACTCATGTTTCATGAGTATTTGCACCCCAGTACTCCGGAAGGGCCGAGACCCACTTCTTTTCTGCTGGTCAAAACTTCATATTCGCGCTGCGCAGGGTCTATACTAGCCGTAATTAAGCAGGCGGTATAGAAAGAGTGGTCAATTTTTGGAAGTACTGGGGTGCAAATACTCATGAAATGCCACTGTATACGGCGTCTCATCATATACGGGCATTACGGCGAGAATTGAATTAGCAAGTCTTCCATAATCCTAAGGATAAAAGGCTAATGATCTGGAACCCAGTAAGTAGTTGATTTAGTAATAATTAATAATGGCCACTATTGATTGATCGCCAACACAAGCCATGTTAAACTCCATTGCCGCGGTTTCCTTATTACTTGATGTAGAGTCATTGTTTACGTTATTAACGTAAACCTAGAAGCCCAATCCTACCACTTCAGGTTGTTCTCGATCTGCTTACTCATATGAGTGGAGTAACTAACGTAATCGGTAAGCGAGTGACGCATGTAAACGAGCGGCGCACCCCAAAACACGTAGTAAAAATGATAAATTACAACTTGATATCTCAACAACGGTGGTCTATAGGGACTTTCCTTTATAGCATAGTGTTTTATAGGGTGATATCTAGCATCTTTACGGAGTTTCGAGAAAGTTGATGATTTGGTGACTGAGATATATATATTTCTAGCTCATAGTAATGTAATTTTCAGTAATTTTCGAAATGATGATGATACGGCTCTTTGATTCCCTTAAAATTAAACGTTAGTGCTAATAAGTCTTATCAACAGCTATCGACAAACAATGAAATGAGATAAAGGCGTGGTTGTTGAGATATAAGTGTAGAATATATCGCATTTACTATGGTGTTTTGGGGTGCGCCGCTCGTTTACATGCGTCACTCGCTTACCGATTACGTTAACTAGGTTACTTGGTCAGGTTAATAATCTTGACTAAGAATTAGCTCGAGGTTTAAGGATGGCTCGTGCGCCGCTTGTTACAAGGCTTAAGACTCGTGCGTCCCCAGATGTTGAGTTCCTTGAAACAATATTTCACGTCCTTGAAAGATTTCGACCATGCTCCCACACGCCAAATTCTGGAGAAGCGGACATGATGCTGAGGCATTACCTTCGCCAACCACCATCGTCCCATTCGCTGGACGCATTGGTGCGAATCAAGAGTTCTCGGTGGACAAGAACAACTGTACGCAGATAGAGTTGTTGCAGAAGTTTCCTGACGCTGCTCCCTGGATCCCACTAAAGGATGCCCTATCTTTGCGACATATTCTACAGGTAGAGCTATGGAAGGCCGCTGCTATCGAAGCTATAGGTCCGTGAGCCCTAACAAATATGCAAGTGAAATCAATATTCACAGCACTAGGAACATGTTTGCTGGTGTACTTGACCTGCTTCATAGCTGTGGGCCTGAGTCAAACGGTGAAGTAAATTCTTTTTACCTCCCTCTTTGGCTGAGATTCTAATGGTGACACTGAGAAGCACCTTTGCGACCGGTGCACTTGTACCCAGCCTACTTGGTGGACTTACGGCGACCCTTGTTCTTCCTTTATTCATCTTCGCTACAGGCCCAGTTTCTGGGGCGCATCTTAACCCTACCATCACCATCGCCGCATTCTTCGGGCGACTGGCGACGTTGCCACGATGCATTCTGTACATCGGATTTCAGGTTTTTGGAGGGGCCATGGCGGGTTTGCTGTTGAGAGCGAGCTTCGACACGAGATCTGTACGTCACGTCACACCTTTAGGCCGCAAAGAACCTATGCTGACGCATATATCCAGTTCATTGTGCCAGGTTGCTATATTGATTCTACAAAAGTCTCAGCGGGCAGCGCATTCGCCATAGAATTCACTACAGACCTTGCTTTGATCTTTCTCTCGTTCGGTGTCGGTCTTGATCCTCGACAGCGCTCTGTATTTGGGCCAGCCTTAGGCCCTATCTTTGTTGGCATTATTTTAGGAACGTGTACTTTTGTGACGGGTTTCAGCCGTACTGGGTACACTGGTTTCTGTGAGTTTCTAAATCAACACCCTAAAGCTTGGGATTCTAACAAGTTAAAAGCGGGAAACCCTGCACGGTGCTTCGGGGTAATGGTTGGGTCGCATTTTGCTTCTTATCATTGGATACATTGGATAGCACCGTTGAGTGCGTCTATCATTCACGGGATGCTATATTTTTTCATTCCACCTTACTCTCGGAAAAGTACTCCACATGTGAGCGAGGAAACATATTAAGTCATGAAATCGTTAATTGAAGTCGTAATCATGATATTTGGATACAGTCTTTCCCGAAACTGGTGTCACCACTTACACTCTTTTCGTAATCCGTTACTACCACGTATTAGTTACTAGTATACGTCACGGTAGTGTTATAGGGTGTATAAAAGTATACACTAAAAGTATCCACTGTAGTAGAGAAGAAATGAGATTCTAAAAAAGGAACTCTGTATTTCCTTTAGTAGGATATTAAGCTTCTAGCCCGTCGCCCTATAACTAAGTATTCCTTATCTTCCTACCTAATATAGAAGGTATCCTAAGGCTAATCGCGTTAGTAGATTCCTCTATCAGCTATTAAGCTCTTACCTCTAATTTATAGAGGAATAGAATAGAAAATAGATAGCTACGGAAATATAGCTATAACGTATTCGGTAAGCGAGCTGGACATATAAGCGCCTACTCGCTGACCAGGCCCGTGTTAGCCGAAGCCCATAACAGGATCTAGCTGATGACCAGCTTGCCCGTGATCTTGTTCAAATCATAGGACTCTAGGACAATATATTCATGTCCAGCTTTTCCATACCCTCCTCATCGACAAACAAGTTGCATCCCCATGTTTTCTTACGAAAATTTTAGTCGTGTCACGAGAATCTGCAAATTCGAGGGTATTCACTATCACTCACATTGTCTCAACAAGGATCGGTGTTTTGAGGTTTATCATCTCTCTCTAAAAGGACTGTGCAAACTCTTGCATTCTGCGTTTTCAAGGGAGTGTTTTCATTCTCGTCTGTAGTCTAGTACATTTGAGCACTCATCACCTCGCCACAATTTACTTGATTTTGTGCCCTTTGTACCTTCGCCGCCACGGTTATTGAAAGTAATTTGACAGAGTTCAAGCGAATTTTGATGCAAAAGGGATGGATACAAATAGTCCTTATTACATATTTGATTGAGATCTTCAAGATAGATACCTTGTAACGCTCGAGCACTGTCATTTTGATGGCAAAAGGCCAATTCTGCATAATTCATATCTTCTTCATCGGTCTTCGCAAGGCTTCACATCATACTCTACGTCAGTCCGAATTATGTATTTTGCCCCCTTTGTCACCCCGGTACCTTCATGCAGCAAGGCTCCATTCGACTCCCCATGTGGGAATATCGCAACAGCTCCCATCACAGGTCGTACCGGGTATCCATTGAGGGTTCCCTCCCGCGGGGCTGGCATGAAGAACGTCGTCTCTCCGCCCTCAAACTCATCGTTGAGATATAGCAGGAAGGTGTACATCGAGCTCTGCTTCTTTTCCTCGGGCGAAGAGTCGTACACGTATGTGTCATCTGGAAGAACACCGGACGGTGGCCAAGCTCCGTCGATGTGACAACGATATTCGGCACCGGGAACATATCTGTACACACGGAAGCGACGGTTGATGCCTCGTACCATGCGACCGTTGATCGAGGGCGGCACATAAGGGGAAATCCGCGCCCAAAGCATGTCGTGGAATGTGGTGTCAATGATCCAGTAAAAGTTGTGGGCCAGGATGCTGATGTCTCCATCTTCGCGAAGCGGCGCGTCCGGTAGGAAATTGACAGATTCACCGGCAGCGATGATCGCCTTGCACTCAGCGGGGGATAGCACATTGAGAGCAAGGCCAAGGCCTGGCACAGCGGGATGTGCGTGATATGTTATGGAAGGACCAACGGGAGCCAGTGGGACGGCATTCGGGGCACTTGTATAGAGGATGGCGGGGTGGTGGTTTGGGGGTTTGCGGAGTGGGCCAGGGGTTTGTTCGATGATGCGGAGAGCGGATGGGGACTTGGGCGCTTCGTCCAAAATTGATTTGTCGAGGACTGAGGCGTAGATCGGGAGTGGTGTCGTCGAGGGGCGGAGGTCCCAGATGGACTGGAAGGCGATGGGATTGGTTGAGTCAACGGCGTTCGTGTTGGTGTCAATCGGGGTGCTGACGCGCAGGATGGCATCAAGGACGCCGAGAATTTCCATTTCCTTCGCACTGCGCTTAACTGGAACATGATCGTGTGCTTTAGGCTGCGTGGAGAGGCCGCTGACGACATCCAGATCTCGTACCCAGCGACATAAGGCTCCGATTTTGGGTTGTTCCCCCCTAATTCTCATCTCGGCGAGCAAGATCCTGGCTTCAATGTATTTCCCATCCGCCAATGCGCCGGTTATTCGGGCCGTCGAGTTGGCGCCCTCTGTCGAATAGTTAGCGAGTCTTTGAGCGAAGATAACTCAGCATACCGGCAGTGTTAACACCCGTAGTGCATGTCTGACGGAAGTCATAGACTGCGACTCGGAGGTCCTTGCATGCCTTCGATTTTGTCAGGCCGGGATATCGCGCAAGTGCCGTGAGTGTCTCAATTGTGATTTCGAGTTCCTCGTCTGAGACGACGGCATTAAGATGTGTGGACTCGAGGGGTACGCCATCGGGAGGCGGTGTCAGATTCGGGACTGACTTTGGAAGCTTTTGTGGAAGGTCGATTTGTGCGTTGCGCTTGCGCTTCGCCGCTTTGGACTTGGCCATTGCTTTATATAGATTCGATGCAGATTTCACGAGTTAACGAGGCTACGAGTCTACGAATTCACGGATATTTTGCCCGAGGATTCCGACCTCGGGATTGCACTCGAATTATGTAAGTCACGGAAATTTCCAAGGTCTCCCAATTGGGCAACTTTGGGACGTTCAAGGTTATTTTATTCGCACAATCCAAGTGGTTGAACCTCTCGCCTGTAAATGCCTACATTTATGTTGTACGTCTTCTTGTGTACTGGATCGCAGTTCGCGTAATGCCCATCGGTACAGTGGTGCTTTCGCTCCGTCCATGATAGATCTGATTCAGAGATCAACTGATATCGCATGATGCAACTAGCCATTTCGGCCACGGCAATGGAGAAGCATGGCCATTGCTTTCTGTCTCATGACTCTGGGGTCAGGCAGATCGTTTGCGAAGCATCATTTCGCCGCCCCTTTCCATGAGTTTGCCCAGGTCTGCGATGGCACGCTCTTTGCCATTATTCCAAGGTTCAATGATCTCCAAGGGTTGTTTCTGGTCAATCTTCTCGCGCATTCTGTCAATGTGTAAGGCCAAATCAGTACCATGCTCAGGAGATTGTAGGATCATCCTTGCCGCGCTGGATTTTCACTTGCGCGAGACCTGCTCTGCAAGATACCTTGAAGCCTTCGTTGCGACCACCTTCATCTGCGCAAGGCCTCGATGCCTAATTTCTGCAACTGTGCTCTCCGGTTGTACAATAATACTTTCGGAATCGTCCCCATATGCGACAGCCATGCAACCCAAGTGTGGCAAGACTTAGTCTACAATCCGAATTTTCCATGTCGACTGTTAAGCAACTTGCAACAATATAATTGGGGTATCTCATTCGGCTCGCTAGGATACGAAGGAATAGAAGTCATGTGTCCCCACCTTCATTCTCGGGATTGATGAAACATTTGCTTGGAAGTGTTGAGCTTCTCATGTACAGCACGCGCCTTTCGCTTCGTTTTGAAGTAGCCTTCAATTCCGGCGAGCATCATATAAGACTTGCTCATCGAAACATGGGACATATCAACGACTTGTTGCTGTAAAGCGTGATGGAATGCTCTCAAATTGGCAGATGGAGAGCGATAATGACCACTGAACAGGTTAGCCTGCCCTTTTCAAGCAATGACGATAGTTGATGAATGAAAGTTCTCATGGAACTAAATCACCTAAGTGGCGACAGGCTTCGAAATTGGCCATGTTTGATTTTAATCATTCCAGTCGCTGCGATACGGGCACCTCGAAGAAAGATAAATGCTGAAAGGCACCTGATTTCTTTATGCCAAGGTCCGAACGAAAAGAGGTATCTGCGACCCAAGGATGGTTTAGTCTACATTCGAAAAATCATAACTCGGAAGCTGACCCACAAATAGCCACATATCTTCTTTCTCTGACGATTTGCCCAAAAGTCGCTTGCATGCAGCAGCGGGGCTTGTGTGCACCACCTTTTTCCATCATCTTCGCAGCCTTGTACTCTTCATCGGTGAAATGCCTCGAGTCTTAATTTGAGAGCACATTGTCAGGGCCCTGCCGCAGATGTCGATATTGATGATGAACACGATGAACATGATGTTGATGGGGATAAGTTCCTGGTGGAAGCCGGTTGTGGGATTGTGGAGTTTCCACTGAATTGACGCACATCATCATCCTCGATTCCCACAACCCTGGAGACTATCTTTCAACGTGCAGTACTTACCCACACCGGCTCATTGTTTTTTGGCCCAGTGGAAGAGCCCAGTTTGGCCTACCGTCACCATGTAATTCAAACGTTCCTCGCCAGTGAGATAGCGGACTTGTTCTTTCTCGAGTCTTTCTCATGAACATTGTGGCAGCTCAATGTCTTTCCCATCGACATAGTCCGACCGATAGAAGAAGGTTTCGTTGGATGAAGTCCGCCAATAGTGTGGTACGAGCGCGGATTGCTTCCGTGTCGATGTTTGAGATCGACTATTTCGAGAAAGGATTGAAGATCCAACATCTTTGCCGTAGCCCTCGATGCGATCTCTGTGTTATGTTCTGATCGAGTCTCCAGAGAAGGATGATCGTCGCCGCCGACGCGCCTAGCGACATTAACCGCTCGTTGCCAGTTTTAACAAGCTTGGTTGAAGCCATCATTGCAGGGTGCCACTGGGCTTCTCAGAAGGCCTAGACGGAAGAAACAAGATTAGATTTGGTTTCGCGCAAAAATCACACTTTGGCTCAACCCATCGAGGGGGAGCAGTCGCTGTACCTGAGCCATCCGCGCCGCTTGTTCCTTATCGATGACGTCATGCGAAGCAGTCGAAGTCTTTTTGGTGGAGAAGTGAAAATTTGGAAAGAAATTCAACTATCGAGGAGTTAAACGGAGAAGGCCCAATGTCAAGCAGTTCAACGAGGATGCGATTCATCAAAGAGCCTCTGTGCAGGGGCAAGGGCAAGGTCATCTTTGTCACCCCTCGTTTCCAAAATTTGAAACCTCCTCTTCAACCTTTCAACATGGAGAGACCTTTCTGGTAGATTATCTCGGTTATAAACAGATCCCTAAAACAACGCGCAAGGAATTGGAGAATTAGCAGACCCCTCATGACGAATTTTCCTTTTCCCGTAAAAAAATAAAAAAAGAAGAGAGATCGGTATCGGTCTCCGTGCAAACAGTAGGGAAATTATTCCCCATTCAGGATCCGAAACCCCCACAATTCGCAATCTATACAATCGTTCCCATATACTACGGGATAACGGCCCGGTTACCGTTACCCCTCGTGAGGAGATGTGAGGGGATATAAATATTGATGTTGGAGCTTTATACACATATAAATGGGGTGACATTTCCTTTAAACTCTTCTATTGACCTCTATTATACCAATTCATTTTACATTTCTCACCATGGCACCCTCTCTCCACCCTCTCGTTGACAACGGTATCACACCTGGCTCCAGCAGCTTCACCGGTGGGAAGCTCTACTGCCGCTGCGACTCCGACAAGGTCGAGATCACTCTGAATAGCAATGTTGCCCACAACCACGCCTGTGGCTGCTCTAAGTGCTGGAAGCCATCCGGTTCTCTCTTCTCCATTGTTGGCGTTGTCCCGCGAGATGCCGTCTCGGTGACAGCAAATGCCTCGAAGCTTTCGATTGTGGATAAGGAAGCTACCATTCAACGCAATGCCTGCAAGGACTGCGGTGTGCACCTCTTCGGGCGTATCGAGAAGGACCATCCTTTCAAGGGTCTCGACTTTGTACACGTTGAGTTGTCCGATGAAAAGGGCTGGCAGGAACCACAATTTGCCGGTTTCGTCTCATCCATCATTGAACAGGGTTCCCACCCCAAAGAAATGGATGAAGTGAGAGCCAAATTCGAGGCTGTTGGACTGCAGACATATGACGTCCTGTCGCCGGCGCTGATGGATCTGATCTCTACTTTTACGGCTCAGAAGGCCGGTATCAGATTCGCCAATTTGTGAGGAAAAAGTGTTGTGTTGATTTTGATTGCATGTACTTAGAAGGCGGGTGGGTGTTGGTAGAGGTGGCTGCGGAGTTTGGCATTGGTGGTTGGAGTTTGAATTCGGAGAGGTTTATGAGAAGTATACTAGAACTTCAGTCGATAGTGTATATGCCAAGTGCTATGTTACAGTGAATATTCATTCAGCAGAAAGACTAACCACCTGGGAAATCCAAGAGATCTGTCCCCCGAGTCACCCAAGCCTTTCATTGTCGCTCATCCACATTATCCCTATTGGAGTTCGAAGCATAAGGTCCATTCTTACTCCAAAAAGCAGGTTTCCTCATGTGCAACCTCAATGATACGTCTTGAACTGATCATGTTCTTCATTCCTTGATTACATACTCTCTTCCAATTCTCATCCGGAACTTCAAAATCCAGGTTATGTGTTTTCCTATCTGGTTCTGTCAATATATCAACTAGTCCTGCGATTTTTTCCACAGGCTCTGGTCGACCAATCCCTCTTAGATGCGCGCTTTGAGCTTCTCGGCCGTTTCTTGGAGCGGATACTCGTGATGCTTTGTTTTGCTGCGGACGCGTTCGCCGTCCTGAGTACTGATATACCGAGCTTCGACTGCGGGATTGTATCCTAAACCAGAAACCTTCCTGATATCTTCATCTGCAATGGGACGGCTGGCCTGTCCGTCGGCTCGCTTATAGATAGTTACCACCACTGCTCCCCCCAACCCAAGATTGTGTTGCAAGGCGACATCAGTACCAGGCACTAGACGATTGTTGGCCCACCCGCGGAGCTGCCAAGTGAGCTCCGCACATTGAGCCAACCCTGTGGCCCCAAGAGGGTGACCTTTTGAGATCAGCCCTCCTGATGGGTTAACAACTAAGCCGCGACCTCCATATGTGATATCTCCCCGACGAACCATCTCGTGGGCTTTTCCTGGCTCCGAAAATCCAAGTGCGTCAAGCAGCAGAAGCTCGTTGGTGGAAAAACAGTCGTGAAGCTCGCAAACCTTGATGTCTTTTGCTCCGACACCAGCCTCCTGCATCGCCAGCTGGGCGGCTTGGCGCGACATATTGAACCCGACGAGGTCTATTGCGCTCCGGGAATATACCTCTGGTCCATCGGTCAACAGCTGTTGCCCGGCCATGAAAATAGACTGGGATTTGAGGTGAGGACGCGCATCCAAGAACCGTTGGGACACAATGATGGCCGCTGCGGCACCATCACTCGTTGGGGAGCACTGGAGCTTGGTCAAGGGTCCATAGATCTGTGTCTTCGGGTCCAAAATTTGATCCAGAGAGTATGAAGTCCGGAACTGGGCGTAGGGGTTTCGCTGGGAGTGTTCGTGCGACACCCGAGCAATTTCAGCGAAATCTTCCGCTTTGGCGCCATATCTATTCGCATGATCAGCATCAAGTCGAGATCTAGGTCGCTGGGCGTTCTACTTGTCCATGTACTCCTGTCCGGCATTTCCAAAGTACTGGGCATTCCGAGGGCTTTGGTGTCTACCGAACGTCTCCTCCATCATTTTGGTCGATGGACCTAATGGACTGGGCCGATCGTCCCATACACTCTTGATTGACCCCGGGCGCATCTGTTCGAAGCCAACGACGAGGACACAATCTGCCTGGCCTCCTTTGATCAGAGTACGTGCAAGATGAAGGCCAGTAGAACCGGTGGCACATGCATTGTTGGTGTTGTAAATCGGAATCCCCGTCATTCCTAGCTGGTACATGATCCGCTGACCAGAAGTCGTGTCGCCGTAACAATAGCAGGCTACACCTGCCTGTACATCATCGTACGTGATATGTGCATCAATTAGAGCTTTAACTGCTGCCTCATATCCAAGTTCTGGGTCTGCAAGGGAAAAGCAATGGTGAGCTGCGGTCAGGTCTCTATATGCAACATAGTATGGACATGAGATGGAATAATCTCACATTCACGAGTGCGACGTGGCTTAAGGAACTGGGTCATCCCCACCCCCAAGACGTAGGATTGAGATGCCATGGTGAATTGTGAAGATGTGAAAACAGTGTTCGCCTCCAGGCATATAAACAAATGGTTAGTAGCCGAGCTTCCGAGGTACGTTGGCTTTTCCCCTCATCACCTTTGGAGAGGCTACTTAGGTGTGAAGCCGAACATATGGCATCTTTTCTTTTTGACATTATTCTGACTATTGTGCTCTCATATAGCCTATTTAATCCCCAAACCTATCCTCACACCCTGCAATCCTTCCCCCCAACTACGCCAACACCTGAATCCACAATATAGAATACAACATATTGAACTTCATTTGCGACAAGAGTCATGTCCGATATTCGCTCACAACCACCATCAACGACCATTTTCAAGTTGTCATTTCCAAAGCCAAAGGTGCTGCTAGTGACGATCAATCGTGAGAAACAACGAAATGCATTACCCGCCCAGGCTCACTGGGAAGGCCATGGCATATTCTCCTGGTTTGACGATGAGCCAGCCTTGCTTGTAGCTATTGTTACTGGAGCTGGAGACAAAGCTTTCTGTGCAGGGCAAGATTTGACAGAACAAGCTTCCTCCCGTCGGGGCCCAAAGACCGGGGCCGAACTTGCTGTGATGAACCACCCACCAACGGGGTTTATGGGCCTGAGCCAACGCAGAGGCAAAAAGCCCGTTATCGCTGCTGTCAATGGATTTGCTCTCGGTGGAGGCTTTGAGATCTGCCTCAATTGGTAGGTAGAACACCAAGGCTGTTTTTCTGTGCTCGGAGCTTACAATTCCTTCAGTGACATGGTAGTTGCATCACCCCAAGCTTTATTTGGACTGCCTGAGGTCGCAGTCGGACTATATGCTGCAGCTGGAGGCTTGCCCCGGTTGATGCATATCGTTGGTCTTCAACTCGCATCTGAGATTGCCATGACCGGCCGAAAACTGACTGCCCGGGAAGCCCTGCAGTATCGGATTATCAACCGGGTTTCTCAAACTCCTCAGTCGGTTGTTGATGAATGTCTGACTCTGGCGAGTCAGATCGCTAGTTTCTCTCCTGATGGTATTATTGTCACACGTCAGGGGTTGCGGGAGGCATGGGATAATGCTAGCGTCGAGCATGCCACTTCACGGACTAGGCATGAATATGTGAATCGCCTGGTTGCAGGCGAGAACTTCAAGATTGGAGTGGAGGCTTTCGCCAAAAAGGAGAAGCCTGAATGGGTCCCTTCGCACTTATAAGGACGGGTGATTCTCAGTCTTGTAAATCTTTCACCAGGAGATTTCGATATATCCTTCAGACTACCAATATACCTACAATTCCGATACAGAATATTGCCACTCTTCTCGCTTTACATCACATTAAACATATTAATTTGAGAATTCATACAAAGTCTAAAGTGTAACATGAGGTATGGATTATCCCCCGCAGGTATCGCAGGTGTTCACAGTGTGTTGCTCGGGCCGAGGGAGAGTGAATTATCGAACACCCCACTTGCCTAGTATTTATGAATCGTACATCCGATCTATATTTCCACATTTGGTTTTGTCCAGGTTAAACAATATGCAGCCTGTCATAGTCGGGGTTGCCGACATCAAAAATCGATCACTTGCAGTCGAAGATGCCAAGGAGCCTGCTTCCTTGATGCTAGAAGCCATTCAAGGAGCTATCAAAGATGCAAGCACTTCAAGCGAAATCACCCAGGTACTTCTAAATACTATCGATAGCCTCAGTGTCGTACAAACTTGGACTTGGCCTTATCATGACTTGCCCGGACTTTTGTCTCAACAGCTCGGGGTTAATCCAAGATACCAGACGTGCACAGAGCACGGGGGAAACCAACCAGCCAAGTTGCTCGACGAAGCCGCCCTACGTATTGCTCGTGGGGAATCAACAGTCGCAGTTCTCACTGGAGGTGAGGCACTGGCTTCTTGTGAGTCCACACATGTTCCCTTTTCGGCCCTTTCGGTTGTTGGCGTCGCTAAGTGAAAAAGTGGCCGCGTGCGTCAAATATGGCACAATGCCACCCCCAGGCTGGACAACTCCAGCTCAAAATGTGATCGATGTTTTTTCTCCTACAAATAGGGAGCTGAGGAAAGGTTCGTGTCCGAGGTGATAGGTGTACGTTTCTCTGACAACCAAATCTAGACATTGCAGGGCTTCACTCCGTTGGGTCGCCGATCCATGTATATCCGCTATACGAAAACGGGTTCCGAGCTCATCGTGAACAGTCACTACAGGAAAATCATAGGGAATCCGTAACACTTTATGCCCACTTCAGTCAAGTCGCATCGCATAATCCATATGCCTGGAACTATGGCACAGATGGCGAAACAGCTGCTTCCATTGGCACGGTTTCCAAGAACAATCGCATGATTTGCTTTCCATGTATATTGATCTCCTACTCCTTCACGTTGGCAATCAAAGCTTATCAATCCCCATATCAGATCCTCTGTTGATGAATGCCTTCAATACTGTCAATCTATCATCAGCTTGCATCTTGACAACAACCAAATTCGCCAAACAGCTTCAAATACCCGAGGATAAGTGGATATACCCGCTTGGTGGTGCTGGGTTTAAGGAGCGCGATCATTGTAGGTTTGCCGAAACCCATATGCAAGGCAAGATAGCTAACGACAGATTCGTTGAGTTTGGGAACGTCCAAACTTCTTTGAAAGCGCGGCAATCTCAAAGTCTCTTGATGCATGCCTTAGCGCGAGTCAACTTACTCCCGATGACATAGATCTCTATGATTTCTACTCGTATGCGCCTCTCTCCAGATCCTGTGCAAACCGTCTGACATCTCCTAGATGTTTCCCAATTGTGCCAAAGCTCGCATGCCATCACCTGGGAATTTCCATTACACAGCCCAACAAGCCAATTACTCTGCTGGGCGGCCTCACCTCGTTTGGAGGTGCTGGAAACAACTACTCCATGCATGTATGAACGAACTCTTTCTCATTATAATAATTGATCACCACTCACCTGCCACTATAGGCTATCACTGAGATGACTCGTCAGCTGCGTGGAGGCTGCGGTCGGAATGGACTTATTCTTGCCAATGGTGGTGTGTTATCATATCAACATGCCATTTGCCTTTCTTCTTTACCCCCAAGAAATGGGTCACCTTATCCCAATGGCAACGGTTTAGAACAGGCTGAACCAGATCCAATTCCCCGTATCGATTTCGAGGTCGAAGGGCCTGCAACAATCGAGGTTAGTGGGACAGATTCAGCTTCACTTGACTTCGAGGTTACTCGGGGAGAAATGCTGACTTTGTGGCCAGACATATACCGTCGAATTTAATCGAGATGGTACTCCATTGCGGGCTTGTATTGTAGGGCGATTAACCGAAAATAACCACCGCTTCTTGGCAAACGAGGGCGACCTGTCGACTCTCTTACACTTGTCTTCGTCGAATGAAGAATCAATAGGGAAACTGGGCACTGTCATCCCTGATCCCTTGGGAGAAATGGGCCAGAGAAGAAACTTGTTCTCTTTGCATAGTGTGGCCAGGCTGTAGCTGACCTTGAACAAGACTTATTGCAGGCTATAATAGTATCATGTGTATCTGTACTGAATTCAAGGGACTCGATTACCACAATATTAAGAATGTGAAATGATAAATAGAGTCCAGGTGCGTGTACATCGATGTAAATATGGGGTGTTCAGGTTAATTGTGGCCGCAGGCATTGCCGTCCAGCTCCTCGCCTGCAACTGTGCAACTGCAACTGTCATGTTGCAGTTGGATTCTGCCCATATCAACTTCAAAAGAGCGACATTAGCATAAGAATCAACCTCTTTTCGCCTATGAACCCCTCTTTCCCGTCCCTTCGCTCCTTTTCGGCGGTTTCTGAACATCCTCGGTCTCCCCCCGCACCATGGGCTTTGGTGTCAAAAAGTCGACATGTTGATCCAGGATTTGAGTCTCAGTATGTTTCACAGAATATTCTTTCGAAATGGCAGTTCTAACATACGTGCGCAGACTTATCAGGTCGAAATCCGTTTCTAACATCTCGTGTAGATCCGCCGAATCCCTCGATTGCTGCCCCTTAAAGCGAGACGTTGCATCCGATCACGATCATTACACGCGCGTGCGACCGAGTTTCTTCAAAGCCAGGATCCCGATCTATCCGAGCCCCAGCGAACGGTGCGAGAAGCGATTTCCAAAATATGTGTAGATTTCCCGGACAGTTACTGGGCCCAGATAGATGAATCGCATCAATTTCCGATCGAACTCTATGAGGCGTTGGCACGCCAGGGCTGATTGGGTATCTGTCTGCCACAACGATATGGGGGCTCGGAGCTTGGCATTTCGGAAGCAGCAGTGATGATGCAGACTATTGCGGAGTCTGGAGCAGGCATGACCGGTGCCTCGTCTATCCATATGAACATCTTTGGCCTTGAGCCAGTTGCCAGGTTTGGAACCGAGGAGCAGAAAGAACGCTGGCTCACTCCGCTCATTGCTGGTCGCCACAAGGCCTGCTTTGGAGTCACTGAGCCCAACACCGGCTTAGATACCCTGCAATTGCAGGCAACAGCACGTCGGTCGGGTGATGGCTACGTGCTGTCGGGACAAAAGGTCTGGATTTCCACTGCACAGCGGGCTGACAAGATACTCATTCTCGTACGCACGACACCACGCGACCGAGTGAAAAGGCCATCACAGGGCCTGTCACTTCTCTACACAGATCTACAAGTTCCTCAGGTCCAAATTACTGAAATTCCAAAGATGGGCCGGGCTGCCGTTGACACAAATTCCCTTTTCTTTGATAACTGGCATGTCTCAATGGACGACCGTGTGGGAGAAGAAAACGAAGGGTTTCGAATGATTCTTCATGGGATGGATGCGGAAAGGATTTTGATCGGTGCAGAGGCTCTCGGGCTGGGGCTTGCTGCCTTGCGTCGCGCGGCCTTGTATTCCAATGACCGGCATGTATTTGGGCATCCGATCGGTCAGAATCAGGGAATCCAGCATCCCTTGGCAGGCAGCTGGATGAAACTGGAGGCGGCGCGTATGATGATCTACCGGGCTGCTCGGCTTTACGACCAGGGCTACACCGGTGGGGAGTATGCCAATGCTGGAAAATACCTGGCTGCAGAGGCAGCCTTTGAGGCTTGTGAGCGAGTCATACTAACACATGGCGGGATGGGATATGCGACAGAATATCATGTTGAGCGATATCTTCGAGAAGTGTTCATTCCTCGCATTGCACCTGTTAGTAGGGAAATGATTCTGAACTACATAGGGGAACGGGTGCTTGGTCTCCCAAAGTCATACTAAGTTGTCTTGACTGTACCCAAATCTATTTTCAGAGTGTTTAATTGAGCCGTTCCAGTAGGTATTATCATTGGAGAATTCTATCGGTGAATTTCGGTGCTTTGCTGTACAATTTCGGCAATCCCCTGCCTATTTACCGCGGAACACCTGGCCTTGGAGCGGGGATGATTTTATAGATCGTCCTTATTATCTGCGGGGGTAAGCTCATCACTTGAAAACATTTCATTTTTCACTCTGCAGTCCTTGAAACGAGCAGGTATGACAATAACTAGAACTATTCTCAAAGGTTGCGCTTTAGTTAGGACTACCATACAAGTGTTAGGACATCGCAAAGATCGTATCCATCCAGCACCATCTTATTAGGGAATCATGTTCAATTCCGTTGCAGTCACGCCTCGGCACATACCAATGGTCCCTTGTCAGGGATTAGAATTCTTGATCTGACGCGTGTTCTCGCAGTAAGTCTCTTATATTGATACAACATTGGAAGTGATCAATGCTTGACACATATCAGGGACCATTCTGTACACAAATCCTTGCTGATTATGGGGCTGAGGTCCTCAAGGTTGAAAATCCAAAAGGGGGTGTATGTCCTTGGCTATCTTTCTTCGGCCTTGTTGAGGTATCATACTCACCAAGTATATAGGATGACAGTCGCTTGTGGCGAACGGCAGCAGAAAAACATGTTTGGAAAACCACTGGCAAAGACATGTCTACATATTTTTGTGCGATCAATCGGAACAAGCTGTCTATGACCTTGGACCTTAAACAAGAGAAAGGCCAGGAGATTCTTTTTCGCCTTGTCAAAAATGCCGATGTGGTGTCAGTAATCCCACTCAATCTCAAGTCGAAGACCCTTCGTGCTGAAATATAAACAGAGTGGAAAATTTCGTTCCCGGAAAGATGGATGAGATGGGTATTGGATATGAAAAGCTACGAGAAATAAACCCATCGATCATATATGCAAGCGTATCTGGTCAGTTCTCGATCATGAATGCATATGCGCCGTGAGTACTGACTGCAATATAGGGTACGGCGCTACTGGTCCATATTCCCATCGTGCAGGTTACGATGCCATTGCCGCAGCTCAAGCTGGTATGTTACACATCACTGGCGAGCCCAATGGACCCCCAACACGACCTGGTCTCGGTCTCACTGATATGAGCACCGGTCTTTATCTGCACGGGGCGATTCTTGCCGCACTTTGTGCTCGCATGGATACAGGTCGGGGCCAGAAGATTGATACATCATTATTTGAGAGCCAGGTATCGTTGCTTTCTAATGTGGCTATGTCATGGTTGAATGCTGGTGAACATGCAAAGCGTTGGGGTACAGAGCATCCGAGTATTGTCCCCTATCAAGCTTTCAAGACAAAGGACGGCTACTTGGTGCTAGGCGCTACAAACAACCGCCAGTTCCGAACTCTTTGTCAGTTGGTGAAGCTATCGGAGTTGGCGGCTGACCCCCGGTTTGCTGACAACAGCTCTCGTGTCCGATATCGGGCCGAACTAAAAGAGATACTTGAACCAATCATCCGCGCGAAGGCGACAAACGACTGGCTGGCTGTCTTGGATGGTAGTGGATTGCCATATGGGCCTGTGAACACGATAGAAGAAGTGTTCTCACACCCACAAACCGCTGCAAGGGATATGGTTCATAGTCTTCCTCACAAAGCGTCAGTGTCGGGGCAGATCAGAGTACTAGGTTTGTTACTCATAAGGGCCTGAGTCTGCATACACTGATATTGGAAATTATTCAGGAGCCCCTGTCAAGTTTAGCCGGACAAAGCCTCAAATTCGACGATCGCCGCCAAGTCTAGGAGAGCATACCAATTCCATGCTCGAGGGAATGGGATTTTCCACGAAGGCGATAGAGGTAATGCGAGAACAGGGTATTGTGTGACGACCGTTAGCTTGCGGTGTTTGAGCTCTATGTCCTATGCTATGCAAGGCTCCTGCTATTGGGAATAGGTCAAAGCTCTACACAGAATCTCTCACTGTGATATCAATACTAGCCTGCATTAGTGGCTCGTGGATATGCCTCAGTATGGGCTGTTGGTGCTGGCCTTGCACTTTCTTGATCCTCTTAGCCGACTCTAGAACTATCAAAACGAAGTACTCCGTACCTACCGACCAACCCATCTCTTATTATATCCATGTACGATCCTACCAAGTGGGAACCAAGGTACTCCGTATACACA